GGTCTGGGAAGTATTTCATGATGGGTGAAGTCTTTTTAATAAGCAAAATGAGAAATAGTGATTGACTGTTTAAAAAATTATAATAATAATTATTGGGAAAAGCATGGAAAAGATATTGAATGATAAAGCGGGGAGATTGATATCTCTGTATTGACTGACATGCATGGCATTCCCTTTTGAAAAAGCAATGGAAGTCAATGTAAAGTTATATGTAATCTAGTGTAATAGAAAGAAGATTATGATGATAATAAAATAAAAAAAAAAAAAGAAAAAGTTGTATGTCCAATGTTATCTCAAATATATTTCTCAAAGAATTTAGTTGAAAAAATATACTGCCTCCAGTTGCAAATGCATAAAGAAAAATTGAAATAGAGATATTATTACATATCTACAGATATTAAACTGATATGTAGATATTCCATATTTACAGATATTAAACTGATCAGAAACATATTTGAGTACTTCCAGCTGAGCTGATATATTGGGTCGTCAGGAAAGTCATCACAGAAAAACATGTCATGACTTCCCTGACGACCTAATAGAATCAGAATCAACAAGTCATCCTGGTTATATGTTCTGTGTGAAAATAAGAGGTATGTCTATATTTGAGTCTCTCAGAGGAAACAGATAAAATATTATAATTAGATCATAGATGATATTATTGAGAGCTTATTAATTGCCTGGCACTCTAAACCTCTTCCATGTATTAACTTATATTCTGTTCAGATCACATTTATCTTTTGTCTTTTGTATGCATTAACTGTTTGAGTCATCACAGCAACCCCACGAGGTAGGTATGGTATTATTTCCATTTACAGATGGGGAAATTGAAACCCAGAGAAGTTAAGAAATGTACTTAAGGTTACATATTTAATAAGTAGCAGAGATAGGAAATGAACACAGGAAGACTGGCCTCAAAGCCTACGGTGATCATAACCATTACACTATACATCTCTCAACATAAGCAGATAGAAAGTTACTATAATTTTTCTAATGGAAAATACATAATTTCTGTTGAAATAACTTACTTATTTTCAGATTCTGGCATTTTAGAAATATCTGGAAGAACAAGATGGAACAAACACCTGTGTGATAAAGTAATATAAAAAATGATTTTTAGGAAGACACATGTGAAAGAATATATATAAGTTATTAACCTTGATTACCCCAGGAGACAGAAGTGAGAACAGAGATGGTAAAAGAGAGATTAATTTGATTTTATTTATAGATATTTGCATTTATTATTTATAGATGACTGCAAAGAAAATATACTTATTTTTAATTTTGAAAGAAGAATTGAATCAAAGTATTTTAAAACAAAAGTGTTACTTAAAATCTTGGACCAGCTTGTGGCATGGAGGTTAAGGTGGCTGGATCCCACATGGTCGACTGTGCAGTTCAAGTCCTAGATCCAGCAGCTTGAAAAAAACTCATGTGTGTGCATGCCTAAAACCTTAAGAGGAGAGACAGCAGCATGACCATCCCCCCTGGCAGGTGATTTCTCACTTTCCCTCTCTCTTTCTAGCTGTATCTCCTCTCCAGTGAGGACCCCAGAGAGGATACCCCCCCCCCCCCATAGCAAAACTGAAAATAACAACAACAATGAAAAACAAGTCCCTACAATTTCTTAGATAGTTAAAAAAAATCACCTGCTGGAATGTCAGGTATCATGTACAAGTCTTTATATTAGGAATTTTATAAAGGAACCTGGAGGCTTTTGAGTACCACAAAAACTTGAATCACTATTCTTTGAAGACATCTGGCAGTATAATGACAAACCGACAAAATAAGGTAGTAGTCAAGTTTAAGACTCTAAAACACTTTTTTAAAGTATCATCTGTCCTGGGTGACTTTATATATTTACCTGACTGGAGGCAAGTATCTCAAGACTCTTTTTGACTCTTATTTCTAAGATTCTATTTCCTTTTGGAAGTATGGCCTCAGGTATAGTTGACCAAGAGAGAACCACTCTAGAACCCCTGTTTTTAATTTTTCACACTGGTATTTTCTCAGTCATATCATTAATAGTTACCATGTCCCAATCTCACCTTCTTTGCCTCATTACTGTGTGTAAAAGTTCTTTTGGCAAACCACTTTCCTTCCTAGGAAGAAAAGGAAGATCAAGTTCGACTGCCACTTTTTTTATTTTATTTATTTATTTTTTTACTTCGAGCATCTGAGTTAATAGTTGCTATAGTCAGCATTGGGCTCATCAGCACTATTTTGGCTATTTTGGCAGTTTACAGAGAAAGAGTAAGATGGGAAGAAGAAATCCTTTTGCTTACACAAGATGTGGATTACTTACTTTAAAGCTGTAAGCACTTTTAGTGGATCTTCTGAATGTTTAGCTAAATATTCTAAAGCTTTTCCAGCTGGAATTCGTTGTTCATTCTAAAAGAATAAATTTAATATGCTAAATGATACCTCAAATTGATATTTGCAAACTATTATCTGTATTTCTGTCCATTAAGAAAAAAATCTTAACATGTTCATTTTGTATTCTCAAAAGTTACTCCAAGATGGTAGAAGGAAGATATCACTCATTGACAAAAACAGAATGGGTTCATATTAGCCTCAGAAACCCACTCCTCTTTATTCACCACTTTCTGAACCCTGCTTTTGAATCTCCTAGGACTAATCTTACTGTGCTTTTTATTCTCGTTTATTAGCAGTAACTGAAAGAACACCAAACTGTCAGTTCATCTCATTTCCAACACTCCAAAAGTCTCTGTAAGTCTCTCTCCCCTGATCTCTCCACAACTTCTCCAACCCATCCTATATGGTCTCTGAAATTTAGTTCATTACTAGAAAAATCTTCATGAACAACATCTTCCTTAAAAGTTATCTCCCCAGGGACCAGCAGTTGGCATAATGGCTATGTCACTGGATTCCCATGTAGTCAACTGTGGTTCGAGTCCCAGACCCAGTGGCTTAAACTCACGCCAGGTGCATGTGCGTGCGTGCCCAAGATCCTGAGAGGAGAATGGAGGAGAACGGATTGCAGTGTGGCCATCCCTAGGGGTGATCTTTCGCTTTCTGTCTCTCTTTCTGGCAAGCGCATGCACCCTATAGCAGAAACTTCTCAAAAAAAAAAAATTAAAAAAATTACCTCCCCAGACTTGCTCTAATGTAAATCTAGGTTTGTGCCAAGGCTTCTGCTTCCACTGAAATTCTATCAAGTGCTTAGCTGTTTTTGCTTTGTTTTGTTTTTTAATTTTTTATTTAAATCTCACTGCCCTTTCTACTCCTAGGCCTGGTGATGGAGTAGGTGTCCTTCTTGCTCTTCATTGCCATTTAAAAATTATTCTCCCTTTCTCTTCCCTAAAACCCCACAACTTGAATTTTCTGTTACCAGGCTGTATCACCCACTCTCTCTGTATTGTCGTTATGTACTACCAGTTACCAGGTCATTTTGTTTGTTTGTTTTTGTTTTTACATTTCTTAATAACTTCTTTATTACTCAGTTATTTCCTCCAAAAGCTGCTCTTAATTTTTGTCATTTTCAATATATAGGTAAATGATCCTCTTTATACCTTAGCCTCTTAGTTCCCTGAATTGTACTCTGTCGATTACTTAGCCATTCATTCCACATTCATTCACTAGACTCTGTTGTTACTGGTAATTGCAAACCCTTCCATACTCTCACTCAGTCAGGACAGAGACTCAAGTGAGCCAGGTAGGCAAGTGAAGCCCCTAGGGCATAAAATGTGAGGAGACACTCACTCTCAGGGTCATACAAGTGCAAGACTTTTGGGTTCTCCAGGCGTCTAACTCCCTCATCCTAGTTCCTCACCACAGCTTTCAGCTTCACTATTTCATTTTCTGACTACTGCCCCTTACCTTTTGAACTCAGTTCTTTCATTACCCTGATTCCTATATTCTTTCAACTTTAGTAAAACATCTAACCCATTGATGCTACCAACTATTCACTGTTCCTCATAGTCTTGATATCTTCCTCAGTACCCACTTTAAATTCCATGGGATTTGAGGCTAGCAGGTGACTTGGTGGCTAAGGTGCTGGATTACCACATGGCCAACTGTACAGCTTGAGTCCCAGATCTGGTGGCTTGAAAATCATATCAGGAACATGTATGGGCATGCCCCAAATCAAAAGAGGACATAGAAGAGGGGATTGTGGCATGGCCAGCCCCACTGGGAGGTGATTTCTCACTTTCCTTCTCTCTGTCTCTCTCCATTTCTCTCCATTAAGTGCACATGCCCTCTGAGAAAAAAAACTAAAAAAATTCCATGGGAATTAATTATAACCATCCTCTTGTTCCTTTGATTTTTCTGCCCTATTTTTGTTTCATTATATATTCCTAGAAAAACTACAAGTCTGTCTAAGTCCAATTTCTACTGACTTTTGTGTCTGCATCCATTCAACTGAATGTGTTTGAGAAAAAAATCTATAAAACTATTTGCTTTATTTTAAAATTTCATCAAATATGCTACTTAAAAGCATATCATACTTCCCTAGACATTTACATTCCTAGTTTCCGGGATGATTAATTTATACCTTATCCTCTCTTCTCAATCTCCCAATCTCCTCTCCCAAGGGCATCATTTTGAGAGTGAGAATGGAAAAAGAGAAAAGAAGAGGAACCAGCAAAGGAGAAAGGAGGAAGGTGGAAGATAAGAATAATGTGAAGTCCCAGAAGCCAAATGTGTTTCAAGGAGGA